AGGACGTCAAGCCGGAAAACCCATGCCGCTCTGGTCCCATCACCACCAGCACAACGCAAAATTTCAACCTGCGTGAACATGCCGGTTCCCATAACATAACCTAATGGAAATGCCATTCGGAAAGAAGATCCATTTACTGCTCTCCATACATTGGGCTATGACCATGCAGAGCCCTCCACATACCTTCATCCCTTCAGGTACTATACACATCAAGTAATAATTATTCCTTCGCCAGCATCGCGAGGTGGTGTCCGCTCCCCATGGTATCAAACAAGACATTAACAAAACTCCGACCGAATCTAAGAGAGAACCTGCTCATCCGAGCTTTACCGAGCCATTCAACAAAAATAAAACCAAGTACCCGAGTAACCCCAGCGCCAAATCCATCTAATGACAATCTCCCAAGAGAATTAAGGAAAATATAGTACTAGTCTGGTTCATTCGTCGAGTGGTTCGTGGTGTGTGTAATCACACCCGTGGTTATGTGTGCGGAAGTACGGAATCCAGCCGTTGGCTTCCACATCGAAGATGTGTCTAGCGGGTGGGCGGTCGAGAGCCGGGTCGATTGCAACGGAGAACCATTTTGTTTCGCAGTGTCGGCATCGGCTGTGTTGACAATCGCTCATCGTGCAAACATTTGCGCCGTCTTTAACCGTCATCCAGTTATTGTCGCACCTGTCGAAGCATGTTAAAATCTGGATGTACGACTTTCCAACACTGGCCGATTTGGATCTTTGGACTTACTGGCAACATCTCCACCGGTCGGGCATTATGAACTTATGTATCTGAGATGGGTTTAAATGACTTGTTTTGGTCTACTAAGATCGAGTTAGCTGGAGTACGCATAATAAGGGAAAAGGTCGACAGGAATACTCACACTTCCTGAAGTTCAAGGAACACGGTCCAACAAAAGGTACGGTATGGGGAGCGGCGGTCGACGCAGTCGTTGAGAATGTAGGGACGAAGAACGCGGGGCATCGTGCCTTCTTATTCTCACACCTCCGGGGTTCAACGGTCTTGGCCCTCCCGCTCATGGATGCCGCACTGACTGGGAATTGTTGGTTGGTGCCAGGACAGGGCCACTCCCCAAATCCTACACACCAGGGTTGGGTTCTACGTACCCGAGCTTTCCTCCACACTTTGGCCAATTCCGATTAGTTGTCAACTGCACAGGGCCAGATGAACACGGAGACCGACGAACCCAGCCGCCTGTAACGGCACAATTCAGGTTCTTGAGCAAACGGACGGCCCAGCTAGCCTTCTACCAACTGACTGGGGGTGCACACGAAATAATGCTCGGAAAAGGGACCTCAGGAGCGCCGAAGGCTTGAGGAGGTCAAGAGGGCTGTGTATGCATCAGGTCTGACAGTGACGAAAGTTTGCATCTGCAACATGCAACATGGCGCATCACCCAGAGGCCCAATCGCACCCGAGCTTCAGGAACCATGAACGACGCTAGGGTTTGAAAGCTGTGGAGCCTCCGCAACTTCTTCCACACCCAGTTGAAGGACATCTTCAGGGGCGCAAATAAGGGTCTGCGCGCTGGCGCGACTTGAGTTCGTCGAGAAGCGGGCAATCGGCAGCGCGGTGGGAGGGACTGGCCGAACTCAAAGCTCGTCACACCCGGACTTGAATTCGTTCCTTGTCCAACCACCGCGGTCCGATTGGCATCATCCTACTCGGACAGATCCAAGTTGCATGTGGCCGCGTGGGCCTCTACGTGGAATCCCCACTCTCTCACCACAAGGGCTCGCCCAAATGAAAGCCTTGCGACTTTGGGGGTCTGGAAAGACGACTTGCTGTCCAGTACCCGACACAGGCATAACAAATCGTCGTGATGGTTTACATGAGACAGAGCAGGAAGGGCTGGCGCATTTGAAACTCTCAACATGGACATCACATCTTTCCCACACGTACAATAAAGTCCCAGGCCTCTGTGGCCGACATCTTTATTCCTGCACTTTGCCATCAACCTCGTCGTTGTTTTCTCGATCCGTCAGACCTTTTTCGCATCCCAGGACTTCAGCGGCTCCCATGTACGTTGCCGAGCGCCCCTGACGTACATGTTCGGAGCAGACAGACAAGCCGCGTTCTTTCCAGCCAGTATTTTACAATCTTGGATTCAACTCACCTATCGAGAGCCCGCGTCACCGCCGAATTCATTGTTTGCCCCCACTTTCTCATCAACCACCACCGCTGAGTCCGAGTTTGAGAAGAGGTCAGATGAAGCAGGTGCATCCCCGCCTCACCCCGCCGCAGGGCTCAGGTGACGTTTGTTGACCCGAACTGTCGGGTGCAGACCACTTGCTGCACCAACACTACTCGACTAGAATTCTTCCATGGTGTCACAGCTCCAGACTCCGATAACAGGTTCCATGGAGTTCATTGACCCCATCGGGAAATTACAGGACTGTCACCTTTCTGCCTCTTCGACGTTAACAACACTTGGTACTTATCTCTTGAAAGACACCACGCCCGAAATGGGCCTGAAAAACTGGAGATGAAAAGGACCTTGCGATCGAGGAGAAAAGTTCAAACGACATATATCTTACTCAACGCCTGCAGGAGACTTTTTTTCGCCGAAGCCAGTGCACCACGAAGAAATGGTTGGTGTTGAGGTCGTATGATGACGCCGATCTTCACCATTCTTCAAGTTTGGGGCGTGAGAGAGGGCACGAGGGTCATCTATCTGAACGCGGGGTAATTTCCTTTCCGCTTCCCCAAGAGTTCGCCTTATGTGTTCGAGAAAGGGGTAATGCGTTTGATCACCAAGAGCTCTGACAGTTCCCGCATCTGCCACATCCGCTTCAAGAAAGACACGTCAAAGAGATTACATTGACTCCTGCAAACAGATCCGGGAAAAACGGCGACTACGATCGTACGAGGAATAATTTTTCAACTGGTAAAGAAAAAGATGATGATGCCTTCCTTTCAGATGCTGGGGCCACAGAACGGATAATGCGGATATCAGGAACGGATGACAGCGGACACAGCAGACACCGAATGCGTCAGAGATAAACTGGATCAAGATGACTCCGTTACGGCCCTGAAATTTAAGGGACAAGCTGATTGTGGTGTGCCACCAACTGTCGATGTGGTGGTATCCGCACTCACACCAGCTTCAGGAGACCTTCGTCTACACCGATGGATACAACTGCAGAAAGACCTGGATGGGAAACTGTGAGTAAACTCATTATAAAGAAATTCAATGTGCTAACTATCAAACAGATTATATCTAAATATTGGGGTCTCCACCAATACATGCAGATATCCGTTCGAATTGGCGTGGTTCAGTTCTGAATCGCCCGTTCGATGTCGCTACTCTCTCGCTCACCATGGCACAGATGCAGTATTGCTTGCATATCTCTCCGTATCAGAGTCACTGCAAGGGGCCGGTGAATCTTAGATTCGAAAGCTCGGGAACCGATTAACGAGGCCGACTCGATGCACCACGGCAAACTACCGACATGGAGAAACCCACGTCTTGGGATTTCAAATCCAACGAGCGGTGGTTACTAGACTACAAGCGGGGTGATATCATTGCCACAGCTGTATCAGGAGTAACATGGTTCGTTTCGTTATGGAGTTTGAAATTGCGATTGCTGAGGAACGGAGTTCAGTTCAAATTGGGTGTGTATCCTAACTTGCTAACCAAAACCGTCTTGCAGTGTTCATCTCCCATGCGGTGCGCACCAGGCTAACTATCTTTCTTCATGTCACATCAGCTCTGAAACACGGTGGTAGTTAAGGCATCTAGACGTCGCAATTCTGGGCCTGTGCTCTCATCGATACGCAATCGGCCTTGTTTATCGAAACCACAGCAATCAACTACCAGATACTGGACGCGCAAATAACATCAGTTTGGGTTCAGATTTCAAAACATGCGACTTATCCCAGGCCTCGGCCGAGCCATGGGTCTCGTAATACACACCTAGACCATTTGCCTCTCAACAGTCTCGCTTTTCCCGGTCTCTTGGTCATCTACCCATATCAAATATGTCCAAAGAAACTATCATACCCGGACGAGGCTATTCACCAGATCACCAGTCGAGGACCCAATCTAAGGCTGTATGATCACTTCAGCTGACAGATGGGCCTCTATATCGTGGAATTTACCTGACGCGCGCTGACGGGACAATGCAGATGGACGCAGTCGACACATACCGGACTTGGATGGCTCGTTTCAACCCCAAACTGACATTTCATGACGGCGTTTGTGTTCCATCTCTTACAGATTGAGGTTTCGTACGACGTACCCCACTGGCGTGCGACATGAGTGTTTGAAATCCTGGAGATCTCAAATCAATCCTGCCGTCACTGGCTCTCAGGTGATTGATTGATCGATTGAATTCATTTTAGCGCATGCGTCCTTTGAGATATGGCGCGTCACCTACTCTACAACCTCCACCCTCCCCCTCCCCTCTAGTTCTGCTTCTTTACAGGCTTTCTGTATACATAATGTTCGTCTGTTGTCAACCCTCTTTCTCGCCGACCCTTCGCACTGGCGATGGTCGCCTTTTGAGTTGTGCTAGCGAGCTGCTAAGCACGTTCTCTCCTCTTTCTCTTCATTTTTATGTGTATGTTACCTCACCTCCATTCTCCATTTCCTTTTCTCGGCATGGCGTCTCCCCTTCGCTCTCATTCTTCCTCTGCTCCAGTTACTGACTCTTCGTGCTACTCCCACCCCCACTCCTCCGCCCTCTTCTCTTCTTCCTCTCTCATTTCCAAGTCGTTCTGCACCTTCCCCACATTCGTCGTTTCCAGGTAGTTCAGAATCGCCGCTGTGGCCCTCCGTTCCGCGAAAATAGCAGAGAGTGCGTGCCTTTTTGTGAGGCCGACTTCTTTAGGTCTTTCCACAGCCTTTGCAGTTGCCTTCTCCAGTGACTGCATTCTTTGAAGAGGTGTTCTCTATTCTGTCGAGGTTCTTTTGCTCTCAGGTGCTCAAGCAAACACCTATACTATCATAACTGTTAAATGACTCTGCGTGTCATCAAACTCAAGGCAGGATGGCCGAGTTGGTTATGGCGCCAGGTTAAGGTCACCTTAATTCGCTAGCCTTGTGTTAGCTAATTTCCTGGTTCGGGAAACTGAGCGTGGGTTCAAGTCCCACTCCTGTCATCAATTCTTTGTCTTTTTACATCCAAAAGCCATTAATTCATCGCACTGTTTGTTTTCGTGTTCGTTCCATTGAACCATCAGGTCAGATCATGTGATTACCTTCTCTCACCAACACAAACTCCCCGGGTTTATCGGAGCTGCCCAATGCATTACTGATGACGTTAGGCAAACGGAAATCCTGAAAATCGGCCTCTTCGGCGGTATCGGTATCTCGGTCATTCTCGAATCGCGATATGCATCTTGCATCCTCCACACACGATTAAGATCCGGAAGACGAATGTCTCTCTGTCTGCCTCAATTCTCGAGCTCTCGAAGGCGCGGGCCTAGAATCATCTGGACCGAAGAAAAAAATTTCTTTCGTGCAGCAACAGCACCTCGATAACTCGCGTAGTTGCGCTTGGGCCATCATGGGCCAGCGAAGAACAACCTGGAGCCTCTATGTATAGTTAGCTGTGATCAGATGCTTATCGGGAGCGGAACTGAGGCCGTCGAGGCTACAAGGCTGAGAGAGGGGCTATTTTCGGATAGAGGGAAAGGGAGGTGTTGGGGGTTAGCGCCGGAGAGATGGGGTCAACGATGTAAATGGTCGAGAGCGGGTTCAGGAGAGGATTGCGGGGCGAGCAGGTATATCTTGCCAACTGAAGATACTATCTATAATCACTCGAACATATTCGTTGACGACGACTTCTCCACGAGAACGTCCAGTATTTAATTGGGATTCTCAGCAACATCGCCCCTGCCAACAGCATCTCGGAATGACCAAAAGTATTGCTCAGAAACGGAACCCATAGCAATGGATACCAGCGATGACGCCGAGACAACGGCCTAGCGTGTTTGATTTGCATCACATCCCACCCTCCCCCAAAATCAGAACAAGAAAAATAAATGACCCCTACCCGATTTGAACGGATAACCTTTCGATCTGGAGTCGAACGCGCTACCGTTGCGCCAAGGAGTCGTACAGGACCTATGTAGAACAAACATTTATGAACCAGTTAAATTCTTTGATCTAGTTTGGCTTGTTGAAATAAAACATCGTAGCGGAGTCCGGAGGAGAAACTCTCGTGGGGTGATATGGCGGAGGGATGGTGATCAGCTGCGATATCTCAGAGTGGCCAGGAAGTCGAGGTGAAGTTAAGCAGACGAAGTGGAAACGGAGTTTGGGGGCTGATTTTAGGTCTGGCGAGGGCTTATGAAGCACGCAGGGGACATGGGATGATCTTAGATCTGAGTTAAGATTAAGGTTAAGGTAGATGGGGTGGGGGATTTTAAATTCGTTGTATAACGGGCCGGGATTGTGGTAACGAGTCTATAAGTGCCGAACGGTTGATGAGGAGGGTTTGCCGGGGATGATGCGCGGATGGAAGACAAGACAGGAGTTCCAGTGGGGCCATGGGGTTGGAGGACGAGGAGTGACTTGATTGCTGGGGCTGTTAGCTCGATAATCGGCGATACTAGGTAGAACAGATTCAACAGAGGGTGAGGAGTGAAAACACTGAGTCTCCAGTGAAAACACCAAACTCCTTGTTTGGAGGGCGTGGGGAGACGTGTAGGTGGAGTCTAAGAGATCGATCAAGACACACAAGCGGAGAAACGCAATCAATTATAGATTCTCTGTTCCTTCCGTAGCACGCGTCATCTCGTCCTAGAACCTCAAATCATCTCATTGGGCCACCAATAATCAGGTCATATCTCAAAGATCTCCATAAATTCGCTAATGTATCATTTATCCCAATTCAACACCACGGAGGCGTGATCTCCCTCTTAAACTTCACCTCACCACTGTGGCTTATCACAGCACTTCCATCACTGTGCAGTCCAATTCATATCATGTTAGAGCTCCAAACTTCTCGAAGAAGCGCAGGGTTGGTAATCTTGTCGTGAGGTTCTGATGAGATAGAGTGATATGTTATGATCAAATACCCTTGACGGTGGATCAAGAGGTGTCAAAGAGATAGGATATTGGCGTGACTGAGAAGAATTGATGGTAAATGAAGACCATGTGCAGTGACGGTGCGGAAAAGGTTTGATGTGAAGGGGTTAAGTACTAATGGCTCAAAAATTATGCGTTGTTGTATAGATACAACTGATACAACTACCAGTAGTTGGGAATCAAACTTGAGAAGCGCAATGTCTTTGGGACAAATACGGAGAATTATGTAATATGGACACAAGAACATAAATTTAGCCGGAAAGCTTTGGGATCTCGGTGTTCTTCAGTCTGGAACATTGATCAGGTTGAGACAAGAAATGATGGTGGGATCCAGTGAGAGAGTGACTCGAAGGGTCTGAAATCAAGCACGAAACCAGACAGCTCTTAGGTCAAGGATTGAAATCATGAGGCCATGTATAGTAGTCGGAACAAATGAAATATGCTATAGAGTAAATCATAGGAACAAAACCAACAAAGACAATCTTGTACGCCTTTTCACGGTCCACATACACCCGAAACTACCCCATTCCGGTATCTCCCCTTATACATCTCAACGCCATGCCAACTTCTCTCCACAACCCCCGGGATATCCCACCCATGAACCGATTAACCTCGACCACGAGGAGTGAAACCACCCCGACCACCCCTGGGTGTGAAGCCACCACGACCTCCCCTGGGTGTGAAACCACCACGGCCTCCTCTCGGGGTAAAGCCGCCACGTCCACCTCTTGATCCGCCACGGGGAGCACCACGGCCTCCACGCGCAGCGCCGCGACCGCCTCTTGCTCCACCACGTGCACCCTTGGAGACCTTATTTGCTCCTGGGGGAGGCTTGGGCTTGGGGAGGAATCTAAAGACCGTCAGGCAAGCCACTTGATTGGGGGTTATAAAGGGTAACATACCGCTCCAAGGGGAGAAGCTTGTCGCCGCCAATGTAGAACTTGTCGCCTTCCTTGAAGGAGGTAGCAACGATACCGTCTGACGGCTTCACGGTGAAGAAAACCTGATCCAGGGGACCGAGAATCTCGTCGACTTTTCCAACAACAGACTGTAAAGGCCAACGGGTTAGCCCACGTCTGACACCCAAGTCCGACACCCAATTCCCCGGTAGCACTCGAGACATGGCCATCAGGCCTCTCGATTCCAATCCGCGTCCGTTCAATCCGGTATCCCGAACCTCGACGACATCCCAACAGACACACCCCAGGTACAATAACTGACCTTGTTCTCCAAGTATATCGGCGCATTGAAATACGGAATCTTGGTGTTGATGGACTTGCACACGACCTCTCCCTCACAAGCATGCATAACAGTTCCCATCTCCAACACGGCATCCGGGGGGCCAGCATTTGCACCAAAGCTTCCACCACCGCGGCCACCACGGAAACCACCACTTCCACCACCTCTGCCTCCGAAACCTCCACCACCACCGCGGCCACCGCGGGATCCTCCTCTAAAGCTCATTGTGCGATTGGGCGCGTGGTGTTGCAGGGGGACTAGGGTGCGATCGAGGGTACGAGAATCGGGCGCTCGGTTGGTCAAGGACCGGCGATCGTAGTAACGGGCAGCGCTGTGGAAGCCGACGTTTCAGGATTGTTGTCGGTGCTGGTGTTGGGCGTCGTGAAGGTTGCAGTTGGAATTGAAGCTCGCGAAAATTTGGTGTGCGGTTTCAGCCTCATCCCGTGGTGTGGGATGAGTCAGCAGCGGCTGAGCCGAGTGAGATTGTCTGACCAAGACGTCGGATTATTGTCCAGATTTCGTGAAAGAAAGATTTTAACTTTGAAGCTGAGAATATATTCTTACTTGTGAGAAGGGCGTGTATCAGCTCTCTATTCTTACTCATCATCGCGTTTGTTCCGCGTCGACTCGCGGCGGAGTCGCGTCGGATGTTTTACCCTTCATGGTATCTGCCAAAATCTTTAATGATCTTCGTATCACAATCCTAAAGCCCCTACAAGAGTAAGTAGGAGAATACTGACTGCCCCACTAGTCAAAACAGTATCCGTTTCCTATCACTTCAAATCACTCGCCCTGACCAAAGAGCCATCCTGACATATACGAACGAAAGGGCATTTAACCCTCCCAGTACATCCTATTAAGCTCCAACCGCTCTTAAACATAGGAAGTATTATTAATATATAGCCCATCGGCGCGTAAGTCATGAATCGTCTCCATAGATATGGATCCGGGTCCTGGACTGACCTGCGCCTCGGCTTACTCGCCACCGAAAGTCCCAAACCCTGAGCATGCGGTAAAGCGTACAGTAACGGCAATGGTTCGCCCACTAACCATGTACTACATGATATATCTCGTTGTGATTGATGGCCGAGGAAATGTAAGGCGCCGTGTGGTAAAACTCGGCGCCTGCGGATCGAGGATTTGAGCATGAGGATCTCGTGCGACTTGACTAGAAACCAACCAACCAACTACACGAGTGTGACACAACCTGCGCAGTAAACAACAGTTTGTGTCACCGTTGATCAGGCTCGTTTCATTTCTGAACGAGATTGGAGGTTGTGGAGAACGTGATGACTTGTGAGGTTGATTGATGGGTGCAGGGATGATATCAAGTCGAAACTGGTGATATGCTCGTTATCAAAAAGAGCTATCGGATCTTATTCAAAAATTGGGGGCACTGCTGTACCGCTCGCGGAAATTAAAGCCATCGAGCAACGACTTGGAGTTTACTTTTCACGAGTCAACCCTAAGTATTCCCAGTTTCACAGACAGAAGCTCTCTGGACATTCCATCGCCTAGATTTGATTCTTGAAAGGGCAGGAGATAAGATTATGATTTCGATTGTAGACGAAAAGTGTGCTGGTACTTGAGCACAAGACGAAAATCCAACGTGCGCATAAAAACATGACCCAACGTGCGCATCAAAGCTGATACTGCGCACGTTGCGAAAGCCACCGACCGCAAAAAGACGCCTCGTAAAGAAATACAAGAAGAAACTTACATGCCCTATAACAAAACAAGAAATACAAAAAAAAAACAAGCATGTCATTAATACAGTCTTAGCTTCATAACCCCGTGCTTCATGAGGTCCAGGAAAACATAATCATCA